GTTTAATGCTTACTAGGCGGTGTTGCATAATTAGCCGGACGTCTCCTGGCTATAACTCGATAATCAGATGGAGGTCCCCATCACCTTCAAAGCTACCTTTTCCCCTGCATAGCACTTACTCGCAAATTATCCATTCAACAAGGCCATTGAAGGTGACGAACATAATTGGCAATGAAGCCAACTTTGCTTTGTAGTTAATTCTAGATTCGCGAAGGGGTTATGCTTGTTTTCAGGCGAACTCAAGATTTCGATGTTCAAAAGTAGGCAAAATGCAATATCCTGGCCAAATGATGTGCCACCACAACTAACTAGGGATACAGTTCTTTACCTTCAAAGCAAGCCTCTATCTCCAGCATGATTATACTGTTTATGACACAGAAACTTTCGCAACACATTATTCTGCAGGCCACTAATTACTTTGGACGTATCTGCATATAGTAGCAGAAAAGCCTACACCGACGGACGAGTATGTGTCCTAACTGATCGGTGTACACCTATCTGCTGCTGTATATTCCCGATCAAAAACCGACAAGAGAGCGAGTTCGTGGCGCAGTGGTTAGAGCGTTGGGCTTCGGACTAATAGGGTGGCAAGTTCGACCCTCGAGCGGGGCACACATTTCTGGGGCAACACTTGAGTTGGGTATTAATAGCTGACGACGGCCAGAAATACTCATCCTAGTTTCCATGGTCTTTGTCGGCAATGCCTTTCTGCCCATACCTGCATGTATATAGTGGTAGGTAGGCACTCATCGATCGGTACGCAACACATTCGTCGCGTTGTGCCTTGGAACTACCTCTGTAGACCAATCAGCAGCCGCTCAATGGCTAGTATATTTCAGGCAGAAACATATAAACGAAAAACCAAGCGTGACTAAATTAGCAATTTTTAGCTTATTCGTGGTCATCAGGCAGCCATACTCAACCCCAGAGGTGGCGCTCCCGAGGCTCAAACCCGCGAATTTGTCAGTTGGATGTCCTTTTCACGTTAACATAATTCCTGTTTATGCAGCCCCGGGGACAAGGGAATTAAGTAAAATGCAGTCGCCGAAAGTTCAGACCACACGCAAGCACACACCTTATGATTGGCAAAAAGCTATTCTCAGAAACGAGTATTTAGGTCTCAGATTCGACCTATTTACTCTTCTAAAAAAACTACAGCTTATCACCTCACACTGTGTCTGTAAAAAACACATTTTAAAACTCTAATTTCTCATTAAATTAGTGATCATAAAGTGATATACTAAAATAGAGCTAACTACCATTTGTGCTGACTCTGGATGAGAGAAGACAGAGAGGGGTGACAGCTGCGCACATCTGTTTCACTATTAAATCATTTGTGCGGAAGTCAAAGATGCTGCGTCCATCTCCATGGTGCAAAAGGTAGACGCGGTTGCTCACGATTTTCAAACTCTCGAGCACAATTGACTTTTATTTTTTCACCCACTAGGACAGGTTACTGCCATGATCGATTACTGATACACGTCGTGTTATCTCAAATATGTTGAATTTCTCAGTAACGTGCGCATGTACAATGTAACTACAAAGCTGGACGAGATATCACACCTAACACCGTATAATAAATTACAATTTGCTTCAGTATTACCCATGCCTTAGTTGCCTTATTTTTAACTTCATCGGACATGTGAATAATGAAAAGGACATCACTGGGAACTTTGATAAATGAACTTAAAGCTTCGAGTAAGTAGATGGATGGCAATATAAACTCAGTCATGGTTTTTTATTAAAACATCAGCTCAACTAGCTTCAAACAAGTTCACTGCTGTCCACTATGCTACGAAGCTCCTTTATTTGATACTAAACAACAGGCAGTAAGAAATGCTATCCCCTCGCCAAAATCAAATAATAAGACTAACGTGAAGTGTCGGAGAACACATTCCAGCATGATAAGGAAAGGCATTGGACAGCGTTCGTTGGCTAAGGCAGAAGCGGTCGCCATCAGGCTACTCCGAGCGGTCCTGTGCACCCAAAAGAACGCCTTAAGGGTGTTGCAGTTACCATGACCAAAAGTTGCTAATCCAACAGTCCGCCGCTCATCATTTTTCTCGGCTACCAATCCCCCTGAACGTGATAGGGTTTTTTACCCCGATTTACGGCAAGTTATGTACGTCCACTTACCCATTGCCACTCCTATGATCATTTGAAACCGGAATGGTTGTTACAGAGATTTCTACGGGCGGGGCCTCGTCGCAGACAAGCAGCAACATTTCTGCAAGAAAACAAAAACAAATGAGTTTGCGTCACATTTGTTCCCTTTGGCCTATATATGGCCACGGAATTCAGCCTGATGATATAAAATAATCAAAACCAACTGTCAATGAGTAAGGGGTATTTTAATAAAAAACGTCACAATAAGACAACTCTGTGCATGTCGTTATGCGAATGTAGTAGTTAACGCACAGAAGTGCACTTGCCGTAATTATGAAATAATGGACCAAACCAGGCCTTATAAAATACATTGTTGTTATCTACGTACATACAAATCACAGGCTTACATGCATTTCAATCCCAACAAATTATTTAATTAGGGTTGTCAAACCTATTATTGTACAGCCTATTTTCAGTCATGGCAGGATGTCGATTCTTGAATGAGCCTACTTCTAACCACCTAACAACCTGCTTTAAGTATGTACTGAACTATTATGCATTTTCCTCACTGATTTTAACTGCAAAATTTTAAATTCCAATACGTTTTACGGAAAACATCCAGGCAATTAAGATTCCTTGTACTTGTTTGTAAGAAAATTACGCTTTCTTCAAAACCAGTATATGGACAGGGGATATTTTACGGTTTTTAAATAGTTTATAAATTGCTGAATAATTTTGAATCCTACCAGCCGTTATACTTGAGTTTTTAGTTTCCAAACGAAACTTTGCATACATTCCGTCTAAAGGACAGTATATATATTCATACGGTTTGACACAGAGGTCACATAGTTCTCTAATTTTGCACTGGATATGAGTAATTTTGTACACTTTGTAAAAAACACTGATAAATTGACGGATACGATTTATTACGAGCGAGCATTTAGCATTCATAAAAGATCTCACAATTAGAAACTTTTAAAACTAAATAAACGCCTTCTTTAAGGATAAAAGTGGAAGAAAGCGTAATGTGCTACCAAAGGTATACAAGAAACAATATGTTTGTGCATGTTTTCGAAGAAAATATATTTGAATTTATAAGTGCAGTGAAAATCAGTGAGAACAATGCATAGTACATTAGTAGACATTTCAAACAGGCTATACTTTTTGCAGGATGTCAGAGAGAAGCTCGTTCAAATGCCGGTATCCCGATGTGGCTGACGTATCATGAGACTAGGCTGTAGAATAATCAGTATTACAAACATATCTTTGTAGTTTGTTCGAATCGAAAACACATTTCCAGAATCTCGGTTAACATTACACGGGATAGGGAAGTTACTGTTATGTGAATGTCTTTTGGGGGCTTACCCGTGCAAGGGTAAGAGGGCAAATCGATCTCTCTGCCAGTGTGTCAGAATGGCAGTTCTGGTAAACAAAATCACGATAAAAAAAATCCACCTACACATGTTGCTGCCATGATGGAATTTCTGCATGAACTTTAGCGCAGAAAAGTCTAACTGGCTGAACTCCATAATTCATAGGCCGTTACTTTGGTTTTCTGCACCAATAGCCAGTGTTTTCAAGGCCACCTAACTTCAGAACCTCAAACTTATAAAACGAGCAGTCGAACGGGAATCTCGTTTGAAGAGAAAAACATGACGCATAAACGGAGTGTTGCGGGTGAGCAAAATGGCAGCTTTTTAAAATAATATTTCAGTAACTATGCTTCTTTGTTTCACTGCAAGTGGCCTGTTAAAAATGTTCTAAATGCGTTTCTTAAATTATGAATTTTATAGCACATGTATTTTTAAAAAATGACGAGTGCATAGGTCTCGTAATATTTTTACGCACACTTCAACTAACTGCGCATACATTTAACGCACTTGCAAGGATGGATTAGCACAGACGACATTTAAGGCCCGCAGTGAAAGCCGACAAGTTGTGGAACTCTCACGTAGGAGGATGTTGAGCCTTTTTCTGGCTGCTTGCCTTCTCTGCCTGATACAGACGACCTCTACCGATAAGTACTTAATACTTAGTAAATATGTGGAATATACAACAGTGCATCTTTGAAAAGGGAAAAAGGAAAAGAAGGTGACATGTGAGACGTATGCAAGTTGGTCTATACTCTAACGTCCACATTTTAGTATTGATGTCACTTCTACACGAAGTGCTATTCAAGCTGCAGATTAACGAGCAAAACTTCAACACACTAGATTTGTTCTTCCGTCGGCAGGTGTTGGGGCATGAAGCCTCATTCAACAATAGATTTGGTCAATTAAATTCTTAAAGCTAAGAAACTTCTTTTAAATTTTCTGAAACTACATTTGTTGTAAATTAAATGACCCAACTAGTTCTCTCTGAATGCGTCTAGAAGAATGTCTGTTTATAATTGTTTGACTTTAATTTTTGTACTTCCATTTGATCATATCAGTTCTGTGTTGCTTAGCTTTGGTGGGGACCACTAATTAATGACTGCCTAAGTAATATGCATTTTTATTGACTTTCAATGTCCTTATAAATTCACATGCAGAAAAATATTATATCTTGTACATGTTTGGTAGCAAATCGCGTCTCCTTAATATTATATACTTGAAGAAAGGCTATATTTTGTTTTTAAAAAAAGTTTCTTATGAGCATGAAATATTTATTAATAATACATCGTATCTGTAGGTTCATTAAAGTTTCATTTAAAGTATACAACACGATCTACATCAATAGCAAAATTTATGAGAGCTATGTAATCCCTTTTCAACGACATCGGAATTCACTATTTTTACATGGCGAAAACTATAAGATATGTTGTTTGGAAACTCTGAATTAAAGTGGAGGATGCAAAATTATTCAATAATTATTCAATAATTTGGAAACTTCTAAAACTGAAAGATATTTGAAAGAGACACAATTTGCTAACAAATTTGTACCAAAAGTTATATTTTGTGCATGTTTTCTACTAATTATACTTCAAATCACAATGACATTGGAATTCGAGACAGATGCATATTCCATAAGTAGTCAGCTGTAACTTAAATGCCAACATCCTCGACCGTGTAAATTGCGCGGAATTTTTAGAAGGTTTTCCTCAATTTCTTGATAAGTCTCCTGTGAACTTAAATTTGCTACATTTCTCCCGCTGTGTATCTCATGTTTCCTAGTTGAAAATCATAGACATATATCTTATACAAAAACCAAGAATACCACAGTCCTACTATTAGGGGCACCGTGTATTTCAGAGGACAGGGTTTCAATTCTCAGCAGACTGCCTTTTTAAGGAATAATAACTAATGTAAGGGGACCGAGTGGGTATTAGTTCTGAATGAAAAGTGTCTAAATCGCCTGGTGAGCTACAGACACTAGAAACTACGGGGCATGCTGGCGTCAACCGTGATGGAGCGAATATTATTTGACCACGCTACTCCCATTTCCTTTCAATCTTTGTTTTCACATAGGAACTAATTTCTAAACTTGACAGTTATGCTAATCGCTTGCCATAACAAAAGTCTTGGAAAGATAAATTGACGAGCACACGTTTGTTTTCGTCAAATTATCTTCAGATCTCTACGTTTATATTGTTATTATGTAACTGACAAAATCTGATCAACGTCAGTGAGGACTGGCCGCCGGGAAAGGTAATTTGCAATGGCGGCTGAATTGGTGACTTTCGGCCATGATAAATGCGGTGCTTTTATGACACTCGATTATTTTTTGCACTCGCCCAGGCTAAAACCTTTGAGCCTCAGGTCCTTTAAATTACTACAAACAAATTTTTTCAGTTGCATTTAGATTATAAGCATGGTATAAAACAGGTTTTGGGAAAGTTGTTATCAGAACTCATAAATAAATTTGACTGGAATTAAACCAATGATCCTATTACCCTCCTTCTCAGTGGGATACAGTAATAGACTGCACATACGTCTGATTAACTAATGCAACTTGTATATTATCCAAGACAGCTGACATACCTATCAGTATTTGGATTTTTTCAGACTAAAAAACAAAAGCTTTCTTTAACATTATGCCACAGAAAAGGGTTGAAGAAAACACCATCGAACTCGTTAGATTGGGAAATTAAGCAAAATCAAATTGACCTGAACTATACACACATTTTTTGGAGCATTTACACAAGTTAACTGCAATTTTTCCTACATCTGTTGACGAATTTTAGCCGCTGCTGGAACCCACATTGCGGAGGGCAACCCGGTGCCGAAACCGAATTTCTTCATTGAACTCTGCGAGCTGGTGCACCAAAAGGTGCCAGCGCATGCCCTTGATGTCACCGAGACTGTCGACCGGGAGAGGATGTTCTGGCGTGAACTCTACCGTTGGGTAGAGTTAGAGGAGATGTATGATCATGTCATTGGCGAATTCAGTCCACCAGAAATTACCCGATTGGACTACCGAGCCATCCGCAAATTCCAGGCCCATCTTAAGCAAAGTAAGTCGACAAGTCCTGTGATTGAGGCTTTTTAATATTGACACTTCAGAGGTCATCCGTCTATCGACTCGAAGTGTGAGCTAAATTCCAATATTTTAGTATTTATTCAGTTAACCAAATTTCGAAAAATTCGCGGCCTAGATAGAGAAGGCTTTTTGGGCAGGGCGCGAATTTTTCTGCCTTCTCTGCTGTGTCGGTTCGACCCCCGCTGAAGCCGCGAACTTTTCGCCATTGACTCAACTGAATTAAGCAAATCTGCCACCCCCCTCCTAAACAATTAATATTTATGTTGGTGGTGTGGAGGAGCGGCTGTATTTGCTGCCCATAACACGTCTTTCTCTTCCTCATTTGAAAGTTGGAGGCATCCTATATGTTTCATGCCGCAAATACTATTTTCTATTGTCTCCATGTATCCCAAAAAAGAAAAAAATACGCCATATGGTCTATTCACAAAAAGCTTGTCAGATTTTCTCTTGAATTACCCAAACAAAAACAAATCTTCTTCAGGAACTACAATAACACAATGAAAACGCTTAACCTATTATAATATCAAGCAACACACTACGGACGATTTTTATAGAACATACTTTAATAATAAGCTCGTCCGAGCTACAACTTGCAGCTACATATTTTTTTAAAGTTACGACGGTTTATCAGTCCTGTCGAAACTTAATTTTTCCCGTGCTTTCCTGCTTTTTTAAATTAAAGTTGTTGAAGTTATCTGTGCCTTGCTTTATTCACTTCCCATGAGAGATATACACTCTTTTCATATACTTCGCTGTGTTTTATCTTTGTTCACTCTTGTCTCCACTTCCTTTCTGTCCTCGACTCATGCACTCTTAAGGACTGGAGAGCAAAAAAGTTCATCTTAGCTTTTTGGTGGCTCCAGTACGGCTGTACCCACCAGTAGAGAGGTCCAGACAGTCTTTTTTATGCACCGGTATCTTTTCACTTTGTCACAAAAGTGAGTCATTAAATCTGCTAACAGAATAATCTTTGAGGCTTATGCGTAAGACACCCATTTGGCTA